CTCACTTAAGAGTGTGATAGTCACAATTGTATATTTTATTTTTCAGGATCAAGTTCGATCTGAGCAAACAGATGTGAGGCAGCAAAGAGAACAGCTTTTCCGCAAGCTTGAAATGCTCACAAGTCAGGGCATTCTTATCAGCCCAAATATGCCTGTTGTGACTACTCCTGGAAGCAGCCTGCCTGGCAATGAGTTAAATGATGCTTCTTCTCATGAAGTAGACACGGCTTCTTCTTTGATAAATGTAACTACTAGTCAACAAACCACTCCTTCTCCACCCATTCGTAAAGTGGAAACAACTAAATGGAAAGGTCCAATCAATAAGCCAGCAGCTGTGCCTCTTAATTTGATAAGTGCAGCAAACCAACAGAAGGTAAACTTAAAATTATAAAATGGTTCATTTTATATTTGCAATATTTTTCAATCTAAATTTGTACATTTACCTAATGGCTCATCAATTTTCTTCTTTTAAAATTGTTACTTCTTAGGTTGCTCAAAGTGTGCAAGTAAAGCAGCAATTGCCTTTGAAACTTTCAAAGCTGAGCAGTGGAGGCTTGAACAGCGGAGGAGTTGGAGGCAATAGTGCAAGTGGAGGAATTCAACAAATGTTGCCTCTAAAGTTGAGCCAAGGAAGTGCTGACTCAAGAAGGAGCATGGGCAGCCTCAGTAACAGTGGAACTGGAAGTGGTACCTCGGGTCAGTGAAAGGGTGCGGTCACTCAAATTGTCCGCATGCAACTGCATCCTGTTAGAATGAGAATCTTCATGGTTCTCATCCCTAATCAAGCTAAAAACATAGCATGGTGCTGCACTTTGTAGTTAAAGTTTCATGTTTCTCTAATTAGATTTATATAGAGAGCCCTTACAACCACACGTCTGCACATTCAATTGCATGCTTTTTGAGTCCCACCTGCTTCATGTAGAATAAGCCATTAATTTAATCTCTACCAATAATAGAAACCAGAATAATATTCTGAAACATTTTGCATGTGCCCACAGTCACTACCCACATCCCGTTTAGTTACTCCCCCCCCCGGAGGAAGGTAATAAAAGCTCTGTCACATTTTGTAAAAAGAGGAATGCGATCTAAGCTCAGTGAATACTTAATCTGGACCTGTTGTCTATGTGTGTATCTTTTAAACATATCGAATGAGGGTGTGGATTTCCTGGACACGATCAGTTTTTCCCTTTTCATCCAAGTTTCCATCGCATGGGTCTAATCCAGCGTTTGCCATCAAAACCCATGCAAGAACCTCTTGGGAAATGTTCCAATCTGCTGTTGACTAAGGTTTTTATCTTTATATTAATATCCTTTTCTATGATTTCAGGTATTTTAAGGCAGAAAGATGTTGAACAAGCGTTGATTTTGGAGGAAAAAATGGCACTTCAACAGCAGCTGGCAGGTATCTCCTCCATCAACAATGCCGTTGATTCACCATCGTACTGTCATCTTGTCTCCGAAGACATGGACTCTGCACGCATGTGGCAAGAAGTCCTTAAAGCTTTAAGGGTTTGTGTTGAAACTTGTTTTCGTGCCTAAGCCTAGAGAAAAATTATTTGTAGGTATAACCTTAACAAAATTTGTTCTAGGAGGTCAATCAACTAGCAAGTTCTCTGTATGCTTCAGGAACTAATCTATCTCGAAGTGTTAGTTCTGTTGGGGAACATCAGAGCTCTGCTTATGTATCTCCCACTGTACCTAAACGTGCAGAGACTTTTGGAGGTTTTGACAATGCTAACAAAGAACAAGGGCCAGGGACAATTTGTAAAGGTATGTCTGTTTTAAATATCAATTCAAATTTGTGTTTCATGCCAATTGACATTTGTCATTTGATCAAAATATGATTGTAGATTTGCATGAAATGTAGAGGTTAAATAAGTATTATTAATTGCAGTTTTGAAGAAACCTCAACAAGCTCAACCACAAGTTGCTGTGCATGGACACAGCCGCGAACCATCAACTTCTTCTAGTCCAACTCTGACACCAGATTCTGAAGCTGGTCGCTCTTCAAGACCATCTTTGCACTCTGTTGTAAGCATTAACTTATGTCTTACGTTGTGTACTTGTTCATGTTGTAACCATATCTCTGTTCTAATTTTTATTTTTTCTTACATTTTTTGACGGACAGGAGGCACCTTTGAGAAGTGCTATTATGGCAACAGTTCCCTCTGGTATGCTTATTGCTTCCACTGAAGCTCTACCAACTGCTCAACTTGCTGCCCCAGCTCATGCTGAAGTTCCCAGTCTCGTCACTCTTGGTCAAGAACAACAAATGGTTGCACTGCAATTGTCACACCATGTCTATACTCTAAGTAGCATTATATCACAACAAATGACTAGTATTGACAAGTAAGAGGACTTTGCTTCCCTGCCAATTTTCTCTGACATCAATAATATGAATGAACTTATTTTGATTTTCTGTGAACTCTTACAGCCTACAGGCACAGTTGGCAGCATATCGAACCCAGTTGTCAAATGAAAGTGAAAGCAAACA